CCTACTGCTGGGGCCAGGCTTGTGTTCCTAGCATGCCTCAGTTTGGCATGTGACTTCTCACCCTGCAGGTGCCCAGGCTTAGCCCACCCCGTGTAGGATCTTCTTTCAGCCTACAGAGCCTACTGGGATTCAACAACCCTCCACCTGTGCCTCCAACGTGCTCAACTGATCTGGCAGAGGGAACTGACGATGAGGGTCTCTCGGGCACCAGGGATGGGATGGGTGTGTGTGAAGGGGGCAGGGTCCCCAGGGGCGGTCACAGCTCTGGCGGGACAGTTGCATGGGAAGGCCTGCTTGTTTGTGAGCTCAACTTTTCTATGGCTGTTCCATTAAACTTAACCCAAATCACTCCTGGCTTCGTGGGTTTCCTTCCATTCTCCAAGGCCTCCCCGGGGTCTCTGGGAAGTGTGGGCCAGGGAAGGGGCACTAGGACTAGCATTCGTCTCCTTCCTGCTTCCTGCTCAATACACCATTTGTCCTCCCTGTTCCCGTCTCCTTGTTGACACTCATTTTAGGTCCAGAAGTGGTGGCGGTGGGGCAGGGGACAAAATCAGGCACGTGTCATCTGAAGATTCCAGCCAGGTTTCCCGAGATACCCACCTTCACCTGACCGCCCTTCCATCGTCTGAGTTTGAAGAGAGAAGCAGTTACAAGGCGCCCCCCGGAAAAGGCTTTGCCAGGCTCTCCTCCCCACAGCAACCCACCAGGACGTGGCTAGGCAAGACCCTCAGGCAGGAGGGTCCAAGCCTGTGGTACCCCAATAACTCACTGCCTCTGGTAACGGGCAAGATGCTTGAAGAATGGGCTTAAATCAGGCCCCATCCAAATTCCAGGGCAAAAGTTCTCCTTCCCATTCCAACCCTCCACGGACTCCTTCTGTCCCCGGGTGCACATGAAAGGGGGCGTTGGGATCCTGGGCGCTCAGGCCACAGGACTCTGCTCAGCGTTTGGAGCGGACCCTGACCCCAGCAACTCAGGGATAGACACCAATTGCAGCATGATTTATTGGACAAGACGTGCACTTTTCGACAGGGCCTCAATAACCACGGTTTCCTTCACTGAACAGTACAGGACCAGGATAAAGGGGCTTAAAGATAAGAAAGACAAACTCTTCCCATCAACAGATGCGGAGAGAAGGGAGGAAGAAGAGGTGTCTCCTCCTGCCCTAATACTCTGGGCCTCAGTTCGCCCCGTGCTGGAGGGGGGCTGACCAAGGGAAGCTGGGGCAGCATGTATCACAGCCAGACGTGACGTGAGGCTGCGGCTGTCTACTCAGGGTCAGGAAGCCCGGCTGGACCATCGACCCTGCCCCCACTCAGGCCCCCAGATCTGGTCACTGTTCCAGACCCCTCCTCCCCAGTGGATCTGGTTAAAAAATACAAAAGCGGATCCAATGCAGCAGGATGTTATGTGCAAACACACACAGGGACTGGGTTTCTGCAGTCTCTCCTGGCCACAGCCTCCACTGACAGGTACGGAGGGCAGGAACGCCGAGGTGCTGGGAGAAGGTCTCTTCTCCATCCAGGTAGGATGGGCGGCTGCTGTCACTAAGCTTGGGGAAGGTGTTGATGAAGGAGGAGCAGAGACTGAAGGGTAGGACCAGAGGGGGGCTTCTCCCCTCCTCCAGCAGGGGAGGGGGCCGGCCAGTCAGAAGCAGTTGCTGGTACCTACGGGAAGCCAGTCGGGAAGAGGCTGAGGGGCTGGCTCTCATTGGTGGGCAGCGGAGATCGGTAGCCATCAAAGTTTCTTGGGATGCTGCCACTGGTGGAGCCTGAGCTGTTACTCAGAGTCTCGATGCTTCCCTCTCGCTGAAGTTCTGCAAGACAGGAGAGGGCCAGGCCTGGTCAGAGTTGGGTCTGGGGAGCAGGGGCACCACCTGGGCTAGGCTGCCTGCCTTGAGGCATCATTCTGGGTTCACTTGTGTCCTTCCACAGGGGGATCCTCACCTGCTCCCTGGATGGGCAGGGGGTAGCTCAGGGCACAGAAAAGCTCAGCCAGGGGAGGGAAAGCCCCTTGGCTGGCAGACTCCGGTGCAAGAGCATGGTCTTTCCCTGTTGCGAGAAGCCCTTTAGCCCCAAAGCACGACCACCCTGATGATGTGTGTGGACGGCACCGCTCTTTGCGGGGCCCGAGCCCGAGCCTGCACACACACTCATGCTCAGCCAGCATGCCCCCAACTCCACAGTGCCTCTTGTCCCGGCTCTACAGGGGAGGCAGGTGGGGAGAAGCCAGGGTACCGGAGGGCCCGAAGCGCCCCTGCCTGATCTGTCCCCACCTCCCCTCTCCTGCCCAGCCTGTGCCTGGAGCTTCCGCCTGGCATTGCCACTCACTCATTCACTCAGGCTCACGCACACAGTCCGCCTGCTGGCCAGGTCTTGGCTCATCTTTGGCACCTCCTGGCAAGTGTCCTGTTTCCCTGGGAGGGATGCCTGGTTTGAGGGGCCACTCCACTGAAGAGAGGGGTCCCTGTTTGTCTGAAGTACCTCCTTTCTCCTTTCCTCTCAGGCCCCAAGTCTCCGGGAGGCCCCTCAGCGTCAGCCTGAAAGACAGGCAGGGAGCCCTGCCCACCTCTTCTCCACCTCCCTGGCTGTGCACATGCATGTTCTCATTTCAGATATGGCAGCCTGACCCATCTCATTCAGCTATGGGCCCCTCCAGCGTCCCACCATCTCCTGACCTAAGTCAGGCCCTGGAGTAGGTAGGCTGGGAACAGAATTCCCTGTTTGCTGAGTGCAAGGAAGAGCCAATTACTTGCCTCTTTGAAGGTGGTCAGTTCCTATTCCCTTTCGGTCTACCCCGGGGGCTCTGACACGTGGGCATACACACACCAGGCAGTGTCTTGAGTCTGCCCTAAGCCAAGATGTGTAGACCTGCAACGTCTCCTTCTCTAAGGGACGCTTATGACTGAGGGGGCCTGGCCTGTCCACCAAGGACTGCAGGACCTCAGCGCAATCATTTGAAACAGCAAGATGCGCACAAATGTTGCCCTCATCTGGCCTGGCTCGAGACCTTGGTCTTCAGCCTGCAGCCGCTCCCAGGCCCCCTGCAGCCGCACGCGCAGCACAGCTGGCTCTGGTTAGGGAATGAAGGGGTCATGGCCTTCACTCCTGGACCGGCCAGCCAGGAACGAGCCACCGACCCCCACTCCCTGCAGGCCCCAGGAGCAGCAGCCACAGAGTGGAGTGGGGAGGAAGTGGGCGCCTGGGCCGGGGGCCGGGAGGGCTGGGATGCCCTCGCCGAGTCTGTGGCCCGGGTCTCGGTGGGACGGTTCCCTGGGACACCATGGCCTCTCGGCTGATTGGGGGAAGAGGCGGATGGGACTGTGGACAGGGGCTGAGGGCCTGGCTATGGTCCCTGACCTCTAAGGGACACTGGCTGCCTGGGAAAGTCAAGAGCTGTCTGGATAAGGATTGAAAACAAGGCAAGTAGGATCTCTTTTTCCTGTTCCTTCTTCAGTATCACCCTAATTTGTGGGGACAGGCCATTGTGCCATGAGATGGAGAGGATGGGAAAGCCAAGAGCAGACCCTGGGAATTCTACATGGAAGCTCCAGATTCCAAGAGAGCCCCCTCTGTTGCCTTCCTTCCCCACAAGCGAGCCGAGGCGATGGATCTGGGGCCCCACCGCCCTCAAGCGCGGCCGGCCGGCACTAGGGGGCGCTGACAGCAGGACCAGGCGGGCGGGAGAGGAAAGAAAAGCAGGGGCTTCCTTAGGATCGGGGGGTCACGCCTAAGGAAGAAGGCCCCAGAGGAAGGACCCACCGGGATGGGGAAGGCTGGCCCTTTTTTCACAGCTGAGGGACAGCTTCAACGGCCTTGATGCAAAACACCCCCATGTCCACACTGCCAAGGAGGCCAGGAAACAGGAGCCCGGGCCCCGGCTTGGCACCACCGCTGTCCCTTGGCACAGGCCCCCAGCAAAGACCCCAGCAGCCTCAGCGGCCCCACCAGCGGGTCTTCGTGGATGCACCCCAGCCCATCACACCACAGAGCAGAGACAGGCGCCCAGCCTACAAGATGAATGTGCTCTTCCCGGGGCCCAGGGGCGGCCTGAGCACCTTGCTCGAATTCTCCCTGTCCCAGTCAGGCCCGGGGAAGATGGACTGGGGCAGGCTTCTCCCTCGCCCCCGCCTGAGGGTGACCAAGGCTCTGCTGAACTTCTGTCTCCTCTGCCTCTGCCCTGGCTAAGCCTGCACTGTGCGCCTCGGTCTCCTCATCTTGCTTTTCGTCTGTGTGAAAGCCCTCAACCCCTCCTGAGAGTCCTCAAGGCAAGGTCTGAACTCCCCAGCACTACGAAATGGCCTTGCATGACCTGCCGCCAACCCCTCACTAGCGGTACCCGGTGTACCTGAGGCACAAAAGGGATGAAGCCATGTGCTGCGTGGCCCCTCCAGGGGCTCTGGGCTTCTGGGCCTGCGCTCACAGAACTCGCTCCGACTAAAATGCCCTTCACCGGCTCCCTGGCCCCAGAACACCCACTCATTTTCCAGAGTTTAGCACCAGCGTCCACTCCTCTGTGGGCTCGTCCCGTCCCCTCGCAGAGCCCGCCGGACCCCACCCTGCACTGTGCTGACTCCTAGCCCAGCCCCCCCATGTGTCTCCTCATCCAGGGGAGAGCCCCTCAGGGGGCTTCTCTGCCTTATCTCTGTATCCCTAGTGGCCTGGAAAATCATGGGTGCCCTAAACATTTCTAGAATGAATGAATGAATGATGTGGGAAGGGGAGGTGGGGGCCCATTATTCAACACAGACTCACAGTGAAAGAAAGGGAGGCCTGCTGGCCCTGGGGCAGCCTGGTGGGCACTCTTCTCCAGGCCTCCTGTCAGACCCCTTCTCTTCCTCCCCCTGCAGACAGGGGTGTGTGTGTGGGAAGTGGCGGGGAGGAGGGCTGCTCAGATCCCCGCTCCGTCATCCCGGCCGCCCAGCCCTAGGACAAGCGGCAAATGGAAATGTGTGGCCTTACCTTCCTCCATCCCGAACGCATGCTTTGTTACTGTTGGGTTGATCACGGACGCTGGGCTGTTGGCATTGTTTTTTTTTTCCTTTTTTTTTCCCTTTTGAAAAGAAAAGCATTGAGGAATCTTTTTGGAAAAGATGGACAACGATTGAGAAGTACACTGATCTCTGCAAGCAGGTGGAGAGATGTCAGGAGGCACGGGGCACACCGGGGGGAGGGGAAGCTTGCAGTTGAGGAGGACAGTGACATGCACGTGTCAGGGCTAGGGACCAATGCATCTCGGGGGTCCCAGAGATGGAAGTGCTGTGACAGAGGGAGCCAAGACCCTGTTCCACGTGGGGGAGGGGAGGAGTGACAGGCTCAGCATGAGGAGCAGTTGCAGGAAGTGGGAGGGGTGGGGACCTATGGCACATGCAGTGCCAGATGGGGCCCCATGCGGGTGGGCTGCCAGACGAGGACAGGGAGACAGACTGCAGTTTTCAGGGATGCCCTTGGACCTTCTGACTCAGTGACCCAACTCCCGGCTGCTGCCCTCCTCCCCAACTCCCGATACCCCCAGGTCTGGGCAGCTGTCCTGTGGCTGAGACGGCCCTCTGGGAGAAGACCGTCAGGAACCTGCCAGGGCCGGGAAGAGAGTGCTGGGGGCTCTGTGGCAGGGAATGAGCGTCCCCAGCTGCCTCCCCCCTTAGCTGTGTGCAGATTCTGGTCAGTGGGAAAAGCTCTAAAAGAACTTCTTCTCCAGGCCCCAAAGTAGGGCAGGAGAGGAGTGGCTTCCAGACAAGTGGCTAGACCCAGTCACCTCACTGTGACCTTGCATTCTCCAGGAATGTGGTCCCCTGGTCAGGGGGTGCTATATAGCAAAACCAAGAAGAGGAAGCAGCCAGTAGCCCTGGGTCTGCAGCTGCTCCCCCCACCCCCAAGAAAGAATGGCTGCTGGTGCGGGCCACAGGATGCTGGCAGCTCCGGCATCACTGAGACCGGCCCCTATGCCCACGCTGGACAGCCATCCCCGTTGGCTCATGTTGGAAATGGGCCTGTTACCCTCAGCTGCCCTTCTATGCCTTGGGCCAGGATGGACAGACCACAGGGGTAGGGGGATAATGAATGAGTAGTGACTGACAGGTGCCTCTGCTGTCATGAAATAAGTGAAGGATGAGACAGCTTGATCCTTGGTACTACTGTTCTTAGGGTGAAAAAAAAAAAAGGAAGGTGGATCCTCATGCTGCCCCACTCCATATGGAGTGAGGTCCAAACTCAAAGGTGTTAGAGGGGCTGGCCTTGTGAGAGAAGCAACCCTGGCCACCAAGGAGCCTGTGCCGAGGAAGATGGGGCGGGGTGTTCTCTGTGAGGAGGCAACGGCACAGCTGCCCACACCTTGCCCAGCGTGCAGCATGAGCCCCTGCCCCTCTGCCCACGGTGTGGTGCTGTGTCCCCTTTGCCAGGCTGTGAGTTGATGGGCAGCGGACTCTCTGGGAGGGGTGAAATGCGGAGAGCACAGGGCCTATATGAGATGCAGGGAAAGCTGGGGAGACCAAACCAGGGGCCCCAGCAGCAGGTCAGATCTGAAGTTAGGCCGGGTCAAGTGGCTCACACCTGTAATCCCACACTTTGGGAGGGCAAGGCAAGAGGATCACTCGAAGCCAAGGGTTCAAGACCATCCTGGGCAATACAGCAAAACCGTGTCCAAAAATCAGAAGATTAGCGGGGGCATGGTAGCACATGTCTGTAGTCCCTGCTACTCAGGAGGCTAAGGCAGGGAGATCCCTTGAGCCTAGGTATTCCAGGCTGCAGTGGGCTATGACTGTGCCACTATACTCTAGCCTGGCTTCCGAGCTGGACAGCCAGGAGTACGTCTGGCCAATCAGAGGCCCTGAGAAAAGCTCCTCTGGCTTGTGGTAGTGGGGTGGGGGACACTGAGCCCTAGTCTCAGCGACCTGAGAGGAGCCAGAGAGGGCAGCGCTCTGTGTGTATGTGGTTAGGAAGAGGCCGCCTGGGGCTCCTGGCCTGGGGCTTCGGGCAGCTCTGGCACTCCTGCTACCACAAAAGGAGCAGCGTCTATGGCTCTGTACATGAGCGTCAACATGCTGCCCGCTGAAGGGATTGGCGAGCACTGCGAGTGGGTCCTGGCTGCAGCTCTGCACCCAAGCTGCCTGGGGAAGCAGGAGGAAACCTCAGGGTTCAGCCTGACCCCGCTCCCACAGCTCCTCCCCTTCCAGCAGCGAGGGGAGGATGTTTTCCGAAGCCTCAAGAGAACCCGAGAAAGGCAGAGGGGCAGTGTCTGCCCAGGCTGGTGGAGGCATTTAGGGAAGTGGTAAAGAGCACAGCCCTGGCCAGCTGTACCTGGGAGACTTTGGGAAAGTTACTTGAATCTTTGTCAAGCCTGAGGTTCCCGAACATGAGGTTAACATGTCTGTGTCACGGCCTGGTTCTAAGAATGAAATGAAATAATGCATGTAGAGTGCATCACAAAGTGCTTAACGCTTCCAGTCAGCAAATGTGAGTTACTATTATTGCTGCAATCGGATTAGTCACTGTGATGATCCGCAGGGCTACAGGGTCCCTCTCCAGCCTCCCTCCCGGGGAGGTATCTCTGCCATCCAGGCTCTCATCAGCTTGGCTTCCACGGGAGCTTGGGAAGGAGTCTTTCTTTTTAATCAAGAAATGGCCCAGGGAGGAAGATGGCAGATACGTGTTTACAGCTTTTCATTTCCCTCCTTGCCTCTTTGCAAATACCCTTTTCCAAGATGGAAAATAAATTTCTAATCCTGTTGACACGCATCGATTTTTCCCTCCTGCACCCACCTCTCAGCTCTCCCACATCAGCAGGGGCTATGGTTAAGACCCTTGCCGGGGCTGGGCTCGTGGTAGCCCAGGGGAGCAATGGCTGCACGGCATACGGCAGACAGTGAGCTGCCAGAGCTTGCCCAGCACCTGGCTTTGAGGAGGTGTGCAACCAACAGCTTTGGTCCCCTTCTGCCTGGGGCTTCTTGAATGGGAAGTGAGGTACATAGTCGGGGAGACCCTCTCATTAGGAGGTCAGGCATTTTCTGCATTTTCCCCTTGATGGGACATGGGAGGTAGAGACCAGGGGACCACAGGACCGCTAGAAGTTCAGCAAATGGACCATATGTGGTCTGCCCCAAGCGATCAACTTTGCCAGCGAGGGGCCTGTGCGCAGAGCCCTTACGTTCTACAGACAGGACCAGCTACGCAAAATAGGGCTTGGAGAGAGAGAGGCTAGGTGGAGGGAAGACGAACAAAACGCGTGGGGCTGTGCACGGCTGGCAGCTTCCTGGTGCTGGCACCTGGAGAGGGGTGGCCCAGGCAGACGTGGCTCGGGGCTGCTTGTCTTACACCAGTCCTGTGCCTGGAAACAACTGCTCTCTCTTCCGGAGCGTGGCTGGGGAGGCGGGGGGCCTGTTGGGTCAGACAGAGATGGAGTTGGCCGAGCCTGCCTCTAAACCCCTGACAGCCTCGTCAGAGACCACACTCTGGGCTGGAGCCAGCCTCAGCCCCCAGGGCACTTTTTAGGAGGTGAAAAGTGCAGCAGTTAAAGGCGGCCCTGTTTCCCACCGCACTCAGCATCCCCACCTCCCAGGCTGCCTGGCTCCCCTCAGCTTACCCCCACGCCCTGCAGTGTGGGGCTCCCCTCCCCCCAGGTTCCCTCTGAGGCTCCAGAGCTCACTGCCACACCCACAGACCAGGGGTCCTCTTGGCCCACCAGTAGCGAGTGCCTGGGACGACGGGGGCTGGGGCCGGCAGGGACTGAGACGGCAGTGCCCGTTCTCCTCTGGAAGGGGTTACTGTTCCCTTCCCACACGTGCTAGAGGAAGGAAGGAGGGCAGCTTCTGGTAGCCGAGGATGAAAAGACTCCTCTGGTTCTGCTAACAGGAATCCTGGTTTGGGCTGCGGGCACCAAGGAGCAGGTGAGAGGCAGTGCTCCCTCCGGCCTGCGAAGGGCCTTCACGCCTCAGTCTGAGCGCAGACCCCTGGCCCAGGCGCCTCATGCACTGGTGCCTTCCCCACAGCACAGCCTGGGCTCTTGCAAGCTCTTGCTTGAGTGCAGGCATGGCCTCCTCCCTGGCTGGAGTCTCTTTCCACCCACAGGCTCCTAGGAACAGGCTTTCTCTCCTAGCCCAGCTTTTGTTTCTGACCAGAATGAGGCCACATGGTGCATCCTGCACCACCCCCACCAGCTCCTAACACGGAAGGGAGACCTCTGGGGCTCTTGGCTCAGGATCCCCAGAACTGCTGTCCTTGGCCACCGGGGCCAGGCACAGGTGCTTAAAGCCTCAGCAGGGTTTGCTGGGAGACCTGAGGGTGAGAGACCTGAGATGCTGCCAGGCGTCCACCACCCCTTGAAGGGGAAAGTCATGACTGACATCTGGCTAGGGAGAGAGAGAGGACCCTCTCTGTGCCTGAGCTTCTACCCGAGAAACCAGGGAGGGCACGGGCATGTCCCCTTCCCGCCGGGACCCAGAGAGGAAAGTTCAGGCAAGCCCTGTTCATGACAGCAGGCCAGTGTGGCCTGAATGCCATGAGCGGGGCTTAGAGACAGACTAGAGCCCTGGATCCCCAGGGGCCCCAGCAGGGACAGGGCAGATGCCAGGAGATGTGTGTGCTGGAATGCTGGGGAGGGAGGAAGAAGGTGGAGAGGTGGGGGAGGAGAGAGGCCTAAGGAGAACTCGGGAGGGGCCTCTCCCTAGCTCCTGTCCCACGTTTACCAGGCTTGTCACTTAGGGCAGTCACGCCTCTCCTCTAGAGCCTACTGTGCCTGTGTGTGTCATAAGGAGAGCACTGGAGTTCCAGGTGGAGCTTCAGCCCAGCCCGGGTTCACCTTTGCAGCCTTTGAACCAGTGAAGTGTGGTAGGACCAGCATGCCTGAGCCTCGGGCTGTGCTGGCCTGGGGGGGCTGCGGCCACATCCCCCACCCCCAACAGCTGCTACACCTCACTCCCAGGAAAGCCGCCTTACTCAGGCCTCCCCAGATCTTGGCTTCAAAGGAGAACATGGCCGGATCACCCACCCAGACCACCTTGACTAGACCCCATATCCAGGGACCCTCTCGGTGCCCACACATGAGTGAAATTTGAAACCCTGACCAAGGGAGAGTACATGCAGCCACCACACGCCATACGAGGGGACAGAAAAGGCTGCACTGACCCAGCTCCTCTGTTCCTGTTTTGATGTGTCTGAGAAGCCGGGCTCAGGACCGGCCAGCTGTGGAGAAGCCCTGGCCTACGGCTCCCCGTGGCGGCCTGGGGAGGAGGACTGTGGCCTCAGTCCTGCCACAGATGTGCCAAATAACCTGGGCAAGTCACTTCACTTCCCATCTGCGTCAGCGTCTGTGGCACAGGAGGGGAGGGTCTGCTCCGGTGACCACACTGGGTATGTGCGGCTCTAACGAGAAGAGCATGCGGGGGGCTTTAAGAAGCAGAGCCCGCCCCGGACACGCACTCGAGACCCGTGAGTAAAACATAAGCTTTGCTGCCTCTGCTGTCTCCAGCAGGCAGAGAGCCCCCAGGAGCGGGGTTGAAATGCCCCTCCCACCTCCGGCTCCTCCGTGCCACCCTGGGAGCAGAGCCTTGGCTGATGCCCTTTAGGGGGTACTCAGTGCTGAGGGGCATGGCAGGCGGGCTTGGGGGATGAAGAATGTCTGGCCAGGTGTCGCCATGCCACCACTCTGTGTGGAGGGGCCTGGAGGAGTCTCAGGCACTAGCACACAGGCCCGTTCTGGCCGGCTATGAAGAGGGCGCAGGGCTTGGAGCTCGCCCTTGGCACCAGGTGCTGGCAGCTGGCCTTGACCTGCCTGTGTCCTGGAGTCCAGCCTTGAAGCTCGGAAGACCCACCCTAGTTCCCGGCTCCCTGAGGTCCCCTCCAGCGTGACGAGATAGCACTGGGCCCTGTGGACCACAGGGGAGCGGCTGTCCTTTGAATGCTGCTGGCTGGCGGGCACAGCCACATCTGGTTCTCATTCAAATGTCCAAATGTAATTAAATTCCCTACAACACAGCGGAAGAGTTTGGTAAGATGTGGCTTTCCCCTTCTCCATCAAGGTTAAGAAATCAGTCTCTCATTCCATGGGCAGACGTGCGTTCCTCCCTGCCACTGGTCCGTCCTATTCTGCAAAGGCGAAGGCCTGTGCTCTGATCTGTTATCTAGAGCTTATGGGGCTGGGGCCAGCATGGGATACCCGGATCTCCCCCACCCCCATGTTCCATTTACCCCCCTGAGAGGATTAAGAGCTGAGGCCAAAGCTGCGGGCTTGCAGCTGAGCAAGGCGGTGTGCTGGGAGTTGGTCAGGGGTGGGGGTGGGGGGTCAGTGCCCCCACTCCTTCTGAAAGGGTCTCCCTGACCCTGAGGAGATAGCACTGTGCCGAGGCTCACCTCAGTGGCACACCAGTGTCCTTCCACTGCTGGGATGTGGGGGTGTCATAATAATCTCCTGAGGGGACTCCTGCTTTCTCTGTAGCTCTTCACAATAGGAAGTACTTGAGGATTATGATTCTGGAGTCTTTGGGACAAGGAACCCCCTGTGCTTGGGCATGGCCCTACAGCCCAGGGCAGGGGAGGACCTTCCCTACCTCTTACTTCTCACCTTAGGGCCCTGGGACTGCTTCGAGGAGGCACCCCCCTACCTCACCCCCCACCCCGTACACGAAGGAGGAGAGGCGTGTGAGACACTGGAGGAATCTGCCTAATAGACAAGGCCCCACGTGGTGCCTGAGCCCTCTCCAGGAATCTCCAGGACCTCCACATCTCACAGACTGCCACTTCTGGCCTGGGAGGGCTCTGGACAGCTTAAGGGACAGCTGGGTCCAAGGTGCAGTCCTGTGTGAGAGGGGTGTCCTGTTTCGGGCTTCAGTGCCTCTGCTCCTCGGCCTCCTGCCCAGGACTTCCCCATATCCAAATCCAGGCAGAACGGTCCCCGGAGGGCTGCTTTTCCCAGCTTCCCTTCCCACTGGAGGATCTTCAGTTCACGGCATTTATGACTTTCATGGTACTGGGTTCCATTCTACTTCCTCTGTTTCTAATCATTGTGGTACAGGCTTTATGAGAGTTTCTTTTCTTTTCTTTTCTTTTTGGAGACAGGGTCTTGCTCTTTCACCCAGGCTGGAGTGCGGTGAGGTAATCTCCGCTCACTGCAACCTCCGCCTTCCGGGTTCAAGCAATTCTCCTGCCTCGGCCTCCCGAGTAGCTGGGATTACAGGCATGTGCCACCACGCCTGGTTAATTTTTGTACTTTTAGTACAAGTGGGGTTTCACCACGATGTCCAGGCTGGCCTCAAACTCCTGGCCTCAGGTGATCTGCCTGCCTCAGCCTCCCAAAGTGCTGGGATTACAACCGAGAGCCATTGCGCCTGGCCCCAGGCTTTATGAGGGTTCCTTTATAAGTGAGGGTCTTTTTCACTTTGAAACGAACTGTCCTGAAAGTTAATAACTTGTTTCGGCTGTGACTGCTACCCAGAAACCAGTGGGGGTTGGAGAAAGGATGACCAGGCTCGGGGAAGGAGAGAATTTTCTAGATTAATAATGCTATGCTGAAGTTGAGGTTCCTTTAAGACTCCAGGCCAGCTCCTGTGTTAGAGTCCCACATGCTGCTCACAGCAACCCTAACAGAGAACCAGACCCACATACAGGCACATACGGCATCTGTGTGCCGAAGAATGCTGGCCTTAGGGACAGGCTCACACACCCAAGTTGGTGTGAACCAACCAATCCCAACGTCACGGACCTGGCTCTAAAGAGGAAGAGCTTTTTATATTTGTTTCCAAATGGTAAACCTAAGTTTGGTCATAGATTTAATTTTTCGGTGGCATTTAGCATCTGGTAGCCTTGACTTCGGTGAACAAGGTTCGAAATTGACTAACCCATTTCTTGGTCTAGTGTTCCAGGCCAAGCCTAGCCAAAGGAATGGTGTTGGGGGCACGGCCTCTGTTGCCCTCTTTGGGGTCCCAGCCTGTGTCTCAAGCCCACACGCTGTGGCTGGGAGAGGCTCACGGTCTCAGCTAACCGTGGAGATGCCGCCGCCCGTCCAGATGGAAAAGGCCGGGCTGAGGCCAGGCTGCCTTTGTGCTGTGCTCGCAGACTGGCTGCTGGTGCCGGGGCTCTATTCATTATTCAATTCAGCTGGCTCGGGTGAGCCTTTCCATTTGCTCCTCCAGAAGGAATAACAAATCTAGAAATGCAATTCCACTTTGGTGTATTAAGATATTGATTTGCCTGTCGGGTGGAAGTGCATTTGCTCTGTCAGCCCTCCCACGGGTAGGAAGGGGTTAACCAAATGTTTATCACAAGGCTGGCTTCAGAGTTGAAAGTAATGTGATCAGTAATGAATTTTGTGTTACATTAGGTTGTATAAATGGACAGACAAGCGCAGACAACAAGTGGCCAGGAGTCGGGGCTAATCTAATGATGTAAAAATAGAGACAGCACCAATTATACTAGGGGCCAGCTCCAGGCTCCTGCAGGGACTGCAAATGAATAGGTACAAATCAAATTACTCACTAATAGACGCACTACAAGAGGGGCAGTCAATGGTAAATGCATTAGAGCCTAGTGACCTCTCTGCTCTGCACAGCAGAGTCCGAAAATTTGACTTCCATCTTCAAAGTGGGGGGCAGGGAGTGGCGTTCTCAAAGAAACTCTTGTTGGGTGAAGGATGACAACCGCTCCCCATCCCAAACCAGTCCCCGGCTAGAAGAGACCTCCCGCCTAAGCTGACCCCTACCCTCACTTGAGTGCTCCGGGGCCTGGGCATGAGGGGGTAGGAGAGCACCCTTCTGAAGGACAGAAGCAGCAGTGGGACAAACCCTTCCATGTAGGCAAAGATAGGACGTTACATACCAAAACACTTCACAGCCACGTGTCTCTCGGGGGGGAAGGTTTTTACTGCTACGTCAAGGGCTGTGTCTGTATTGAAAATAAAATATTCCTTTAAAGAAGATCACAAACTGCACCTTTAAGAGAGCAGGAAGAGCTGAGATCAAAGTGAGTCGATACCCAAATCTGGTCTGACCACTGAGAGCTTCGCGGGGGTATTCACGGTCTGTTCCCAGGCATGGCACGCCTAGGGTTTTACAGACTTCTCACTAGCCTAAACTGGTCTCATCCTTCCCTCTCCCCTCCTCCCCAGGCCAGCTGACTGAGTTCCAACACTCCTGCCTGCTGCACAGGGCTGGGGTAGGGAAGTATGTGGAGAGAAAGTCAGGATCTTGGGTAACCCCTCAGATTTTCTTCCTATTCTCAGCTTCCGTGGATTTAGAAACCAGGTGTGAAGTTCAAAGCTGCCTGGCAGTGTGTGCTTAGGGAGAGGTCACCAAGACCAGCTCGAGGGCACTAACCGCACACTCCCATTCAGCTCTCAGTGGTCGGGGATGGATAACGCACGAAACCAAGAAACTCCAGGCCTTCCAAGGACCCAGCCCAGGCTCACACTCCTCCAATGCCCACCTCGGGTCAGCACCAAACAGTCACACACAATGCTGTGGAGATGGCACGCTGGCCCAGGCCCAGTGGAGCCGGGAGATGATGGGAACATTCCAGGAAAAGCGAACACAGCGGGCATGGAATGGAAAAGTCATCCTGAACAAATAACACAGCTGGGTGGCGATTCTCCCCAGACTCCATGGAGGGCGCAGAGGGGTGGAAATGCTAGCTAGCGGACTACACCCAGTAAAAAATATGTGAGCAACGGGGGAGGCTGCGGAGCCTGGTGCTGGGGATTTTGCCAGCAAATTTAAAAATGTCTTATGCAGTGCGCTGGCAGGTCCCTGGGGGCAGGAGTAGGGTAGGAGGGGGCATGGCAGGAAGAAATAAGCAAAAGACTGAGGATGGAAAGCTGTTTCCGGTAAGGGTGCTCCAAAATGCCTTCTTCTGCTAGGGAACTTGGCTTTTCTGTTAAGTCAGATTGGCTTGGCTTGGCCTGGCCTTCTGGGTACAGGGCTCTCTATGGCTCCTAAGAGCCAAGACTCTGGATTCCTAAAGGGTCAGAGAGTCATTGCCAACTTTCATTTTCTGTGAGCAAGTGTATCTCCCTCTCTGAGCAGCCACCATATCCAGGGGGTGGCCTGCAGGTCTCAGGCCACATTTTGAGAAGGGGGAGGGGCAGAGGCAGGGGCAGAAGGGAAAGGTGGGTATTTAACCATCCATGACCACATTCAACTTTGTTCAGAATCTCACACCTCACAGAAAGGTCAGTGGTTAAAAGTCAATACTGTGGCAGAGGAGGAGGAGCAGGGAGAAATCCTCCCTGCTGTTAACCATTTACCTACGTTAATGCTTCCAGAGGACAGCCTGTGCTCTGGGGGTCCGACAGCCCTCCCCCAGCCCCTCAGTCCAAGCCTGTGCCTTTCCACACTCATTCCTACTTTCGTGTCAGGACAGCAACTGGAGAGGGGACTCTGAACGGTCACAGAGGTCACACCGGCACTTCCTCCTTGTTGATAGGAATCTACTGTGCCTTGGTGAAAGAGTTGAAAGGTGACTTTAGACAAGTAAGAAATAAGCAGAGGAGATTCTCAGCCCCAAACTCCCACTGCAGCTCTGCCCCTGGTGGGGCCTCCGATAGCCTTAGTGACGAAGGTGGGGGAACGATCTACCCAGAAGCAGATTTGGGACCTGGCCAGAAACTAACAGGTGTGACTTTTAATCAATAGTTATTCCCATTGCCTTGACTGGCTTTCATTCACCTCTCAGAGGCCCCAGAAACCCATCCAGTCACTCAACAAACATTAACTGAGGCTCAGCCTGGCTCTCCTTCCAGTGCTGGCTGCTGGGCAGGAAGAAGGCAGGTGGCTGGGGATAACAAAGCTGATTTAGACTTGGTTCAAAGAACCAGAAGTGGGTCAAGACGCACTCATGGGAGTATGAGTGAGGGCGGGGCTGGAGCGACCACCAGGGTTGGCCCTTTTCCAATGGCAGAACCCAGGGAACTGGTCAGCAAGTTAATGGAAAAGACAACATACACTTACTTGCACAGGGCCCAGTGTCCAGTGAGTGGGTGGTGCAGAAATTCAGAGACAGAATGGGTTGCACACATTTGGCTTCATGATCAGGGAAAGCAACACAGAAGGGGTGAGATTTGCGCTTGGCCTAAGACTGGGCAGAGCGGAAGGGTGGCGGTCTCCTGAGGGCTGACCAACATGTGCCAGAGCCAGGTGAACAGGGTGCGTGCTGGGGAGGCTGGGATCCTACATTTGTATGAAGGTGGAGGAGGTGGAACATGTGGAGGTGACTGCGGAAGGGGAGGTGGGACATCAGGCTGGAGGGGAAGGTGGGGAAGGCCTGTAAGAGACCAGAAGCACGATGGCGAGGAGCCTGAGTGGTAGGTAATGCGCAGGCCTAGGCACTTTCTTTTCTTTTTTTTTTTTTGAGACGGAGTCTCGCTCTGTTGCCCAGGATGGAGTGCAGTGGCACAATCTCGGCTCACTGTAACCTCTGCCTCCCGGTTTCAAGCAATTCTCCTGTCTCAGCCTCCTGAGTAGCTGGGACTACAGGCACACACCACCACACCCAGCTAATTTTTGTATTTTTAGCAGAGATGGGGTTTCACCATGTTGGTCAGGTTGGTCTCGAATTCCTGACCTCATGATTCGCCCACCTTGCCCTCCCAAAGTGCTGGGATTACAGGTGTGAGCCACCGTGAGGCCTGGGCACTTTCTGAGCAGGGAAGTGAGACGGTGGTCAGGGCAGGCTCTGCAAGCGATGGTCCCCTTCCTCCACTGGATCCCTGCTTATTCTGAGTAAAAGGGGAGGACGACTGACATGACTGCCACCCTTCAGACCAGGTGACACCAGCAGGATCTTCATAACTGAAACCTCTTCCCAGATATCTTATTTTAATCCCACATCTTTCAGTTATAATCTCACTTCATGTCTTCTGTTTCCTCCTTTGTACCTGGCAGTGCTGTGACAATTCGAGGACATTTGTGTGACAGGCAGAGTCTGAGGCGTGGCCACTGCTCCCATGGGGAGGAGTCAATGAGAGAGACCGAGTGGTCCATACAACGGCCAGAACATCAGAAGCCAGGACGCTACAGGAGGCCGGCGATGACTACATTTACTAGCTCCCCCTCCCACTGCATCAGAGAGGAAGAAACTGAGCCCAGAGACAGAAAGGCACATGCCCAGGGTCACAGGCTTCCCCCATTTCTTGATGAGGGCTTCAAATCCCATCAAAAAGGGGGAAAAACAAACAAACAAACAAAAAAAAAAAAAAAAAAAAAAAAACGTTTTTCCCAATGGCAGGAGCTTGATGCTGGGAACTGAAAGGGCTCTCAGATTTGGCCTCTCCTGCCAATGGAAAATAGCTAGGAATAGGCAAGCCGACACTGAACTGAGATACAAATAGCAACACCAACATCACCACCCCTGCCGAGGCCACCGGCTATCCCCCAGTCTCGCTGGCGCAGCTGCTCCCTCTCGTCCTGAACAGGGATGCTTGTCACCTGCTGGTGGGACTGGGCCCTCTATCTGGTGGCCCTGTGCCTCTGGGGACATTCTCTTCTCCCACCCTCAGCAATCAAAGCATTAGGTACTAGAGAGTTCTAGCTTTGCCTCTGCGTTCTAGAGAGACCATGCCCCGTGGGCAGGGGAGCTCTCCTGACTTCCGCTTGGTCTAGCTCACTTAGGGAGGCCCGGTGGGTAGCTGGGGGTAGACGTCAGAGAGAAACAGACCCACACTTCAGTACTGTGGCCTCTGGTGCTTTCATCTCTCTGAGGGTAGGAACCATGTCTCTGATTCTTCCCCAGCCTATGGGGGAAGAAACTGGCAGAAGCCGACAGAGAGCCTGCCTGCCCCAACCACAGAAAGAGCACGTCGGGCCACTGATGAGGTCACTCAGAGAAGACACTGAAAGAATTTTTCTAGAAGCTGTAGCAGGAGGAAAACTCCAGGGCCCAATTAGGTGAGGCAGAGGAAAGGCCCTCGGTGCTGGCTAAGTTGCTTCGGTGACAGCGTTTGCTGAGGAGCTTGGTGTTGCAGAGACGGGCAATTTTAGGAGCAGTGGGCAATCAGGGATATTGCCCAGAGAAGCCTAGAGTCTTTGGCAAGACAGCCAGACCAGGCCAGAGCTACAACTTGCACAGAGGAATCACCCTTGCCTTCTTGAGAAGGGGGCCGGGAAATGGGATAGGTAAGCCTTGGAGGAAAAAAATTAAAGACTGAAGACTGGGTCTCATGGGCGGCCATGCTGGGCATCCTGGAGAAGAGAGAGAGTCTTACTTTCAGGAGGCCAAAAGACTGTGACCCTTCCTGGGTATCCAGGATAAACACCAGTTTGGCTGAGAGGATGGCTATAGGAAGAGGAGGGAAGATTCTACGGAAAGATCAAAGCAGCTTGGTGGCTGTGCGTGGCGGCGAAGCCGGGAATGTGACCTATGGGGCTATAGCCATGCTGGCCCTGTGAAGGCAGCATCTTCAGCTTACAAGACCTCTGGGTCTGCTTAGGATGGGGTCAGGGTAGCTAACGCAGGACCCATAAAGGAGGCTCACCTTTCACTTAGAATCAGAAAATCTCAGGGCCCACACCACACATGTAAGTGTCACTTCTCCAGCTGCCTGCAGTAGCACTGCCAGTTCCTGTTTCTATGGCCTTGCAATGAGTTGGGTCAGCAGGGTGCATCTATTTACCCCTAGGGCTGGACTGGGTGAAGTTTTCTTTTCTGAATTGTAGATTTAAAAAATACGTTGGAGGTAGAAAATTCTAACCACCACCACATCTTCTGAAATGTCTGCCAAGTCCAATGTGGTCAACTACTTTCTAGAGCGAACACTGACAAATCGATTATCTGCCTTTAAGATGGGACTGACCGGAGAGTAGGGATGGCTAAAAGATAAGATAACTGGCCCAGTACAGTGGCTCATGCCTGTAATCCCAGCACTTTGGGAGGCCAAGGTGGGCGGATCACCT